GTCTCCCCTCAGCCTCGGGAGTGCAGACGGGGTGCGCCAAACCCTGATCACCACCACCCGCCGATTTTTTTTCCCAGTCGGGGCCTCCTTTTCGACCGCGTCAGGGGGGGGGGGCTTCCGCCACCCCTGCCATTCACGTGCGTCGCCCCCCCGCTGGAGTGAGGATGGCCCAGCCGGCGCCTGAACCTGGCGGGCCATGACAGACACCTGTCCGAATCGGTGCGTTCTCCTTCTCTCTTTCTCTCTCTCTCTCTCTGTTCCGGCGGCGTCGCTATATCAGCCTCTGTCTACGCTTGTGCTTCCTGCGCCGATGAAGTCTACCTGTTCTACGGTTTGAGACTATCTCTATCCATGATTCAGACCGCCGGCTCGCATCTACAGAGTGCGTCGCGTCCTCGTATGTTGGCCGATGTGCCTGGCTGCCCGCACGTCCTTCAGTCCTTCGTGTGCATGTCGTTATCCGCCCGCCTGTCGGTCCATCCGCTTGTGTGTGCGTGGGCGCCTGCCTGCATGTCCGCGCTGCTGTGCCCGTCCGGCTGCCAGCTGCCTCTCTCTGAGCGCGCGCGTGTCCGGCCGCCCGCCTCTGCGACTGCCGGTCTCTGGCGCTGCATCCGCCCGCCCGCCTCTGCATGTCGCTGTCTGCTCCCTCTGTGCTGCAGTGCACCCGTCTGCCCGCTGATCCGTCCGTCTGTCCTTCGGCTGGTCTTTCCGTCTCCCCGTTCGTTCCCCCGTTTTTCCTCGCCTCATCCTCACTCCTCCTCCTCCTTCTTCTCCTCCCCTCCTCCTCCTCCTCCTCCTCCTCCTCGCCCCCTCTTCCTCCTCCTCCTCCTCCTCCTCCTCCTCCTCCTCCTCCTCGGCTGATCCTTCTTCCTCCTCCTGCCCCCCCAGCACGCAGGCCCTATCCCGCGGCCTGGCCTGGATCCTCGCTGAAGCAGGCGGGGCACTTGAGCCAGCGGGTTGAAAGGGAAGCGGCGGGTTGGGCGAGAAGAACAGGCAGAGGTCAAGAATCAAACCTTGTTATTTTGGAAGGGCCTTCGGAGTTCTCTGGGGGACCTCCAGAGGCGGCCTCTGGAGACTGGGGTCGGGGACCTCTGGAGGCCGAGAGGAACGGATGATGGCGCAAGGAGCACGGAGATGTAGGAGGGGTGGAAGGGGAAGGGGTTGCGGAGAGAGGACGGAAGCAGGGGAGAGGAGGAGAGGGAAGGAGCAGGAGGATGAGGAAGAACCGGAGGAGTAAGGAGGAAGACGAGGAGAGAGGAGAAACGAGGAACCGAAGGAGCAGGTGGAGGAGAAACGAGGAAGGAACAACGAACAGGAGGAGAAAGAGGAGGAGAAAAAGGATGAGAAGGGAGGAGGAGGAGGAGGAGGAGGAGGAGGAGGAGGAGGAGGAGGGAGGAGTTTTTTTTTGACCTCGACAGGTCTCACCGCTTCAATGACTTCTCGCGGCAACAGCGGGCACTGCAGCGAGTAAAATCGCAGCTGCAAAGAAGCACTGAACAATTATCGTAAAACAGCTGCGAAAAAAAAGAGGTGGGTGTGCCTGGGCGCTCCGCGGGGCCAGACCACAGAGACCCACCTCTGAGTGGCCCCTCGCAGGCACACAGGGACCAAGGGGACCCTGCTACACCTGGACAAGGGCCCGAAGTCTGAGGCACAGGCATAGCACAGTGCCACAGTGGCTCCTCACGAGGAGCGAGAATGAGAGGCCCTCTACACAGGAGGGCGGCCAAAACAAATGACCCCACCAGAATTAGGCGGGGAGCAGGGCCACCTGCAGGATCCTGCAAGTGGAAAAGCAGCACAGACCGTCAGCCCTCGACTGAACAAGAGGACGGGCGGATTTCAGCCAGAATGCTGGGCTGCGACGGTGTTGGGGCTAGGAGCCTGAGCTCCAGTCCACAGCAACACCACAAATGACTAGGGACAAGGGCGAATCGCCCTCATACTCCCGAGAAGTAGGCACCTCCACGAGCTTCGCGCATACCACTACGCGAGACGAACGCGTGCACACACACGAAAGATGAGGAGGGCCAGGCGCTGGGGCCAGGGACAATCACCTGGCCTCTGCACACGCCAAATTGGAGCGACGGTCGGGATAAACTTACCCCCGTGCTCCTCTGAAGGAAAGCCTTCAGGATGTGCGCACATCTTCCCCCTGATGCGGGGTGCATGACACACGTGCGGACACGAAACGAACCAAGACGAACAAGATAGGCCCACACAAGGACGACGAGGCCTGTCCCAGGTGCTGATGCGCCTGGACGACATAGCCTCGCCCCAGATGTAGAGCCGAAGCATCACGAAGATAGAAAGGCCGAGGGCCACGCACAAAATAATATTCGACCACCCACACAAGGACGACGAGGCCTCCAGCCCCTGGTGCAGCGAGCGCCAGAACGACTGAAGGCCTCGCCCCAGATGTGGGGTATAGCACGGATGCCTGTCAAAAGGACCAGTCGCATCGGGCCGTGCTGGAAAAGAATGAAAAGCCAAACAGCACTTAAAACAGTTCAAGCACATCATCAATTGAGACTGCCACAGGCCGGCGCTTTTCGTGGGGGTGCAAACCACGGCAGAGGTAGTTCCAGCCAGCCCCAGCACGTCTGGATGGTTTACCCTCGCACCGCTCTCCAAGGCCTTTGACCCTGCTTCCAGTCGAATGACATTTGCAACGAACACATATGAAGAGCACAGAGCCATCTGAACAATGGAATGCTATGACTCTATGCCCTAAACTTTGGAGAACGTGATCATCTAACTTGGACCTATTGCTACACCTGCCTGGAGGGGGCTCTTGCGGGGACCTTTTGCCGAGCAAGCACTGCGAGCACCTCCAAATTCCAGACCACTTCTTCCAGGCGTGTGAGGTCTGGGGTTGGCAAGAGGCGGCAGGCACAGGCACATGGGGAACGTCTAACGACAACTTAGGCCAGAGCGGCAGCAGATTGGCAGCAAGAAGAATGCAATAGGATCGGGCAACAGTCACTAAAGCGTCTACTTCCAAATTTAAGGCTGCATCATAAGGGTGAAGCTGGAGGCCATGCTTGGCACCAGCATCTGCATCTCTATTACCTAGGCGCAGAAATCTTTCACGTGCGGGGATACCTTCCTCGTCCACGTCTCGGTGAGCCTTGACCTTGACGATGGACTGAATTTTATCCCCTTCCACATTATTCGCATTTAAAATCATACCTGAATACGAGCGCTTGCCCGAGTAGCGATCAGGAATGGGCAGCAGCGAGTGGTGCACAACATTAGCGCGATCACTGTATAGGACCGAGGGATATCATACAAACTGAGCAACAACACATCTGGCAGAGTACTCAGCAGCTTGTGGTGTTTGGGGGAAGTGGGCCCAGACTGGGCCTCTGACCTCTCCAAGGCACTTCCCGTCATCCGAATTCATAGAAATACACCAAGCACCACGGGAAAGTTCTCGAACAACGTGGCGCTGGCAGGACCCATCGAGGAAAAGGTGACCCCACATCCTACCGTTAGCGGGGACCACAGGACCATCGGGGCTTTCGAGCTCATCCACGTGCCAAGCGTAATGCAGGGCATTGGTGCCTTCCAGGGCAGGACGCGGCAAGACATCGGCGGGGTGAGCGAAAGCTCCTCGAGTATACAATGCGGAGGAGGGAGGAGGAGGAGGGAGGATGAGGAGGGGGAGAAGGAGGATGAGGATGAATATGAGGATAAGGATGAGGGAGAGGATGAGGGAGAGGATGAGGATGAGGAGGAGGAGGAGGAGGAAGAGGAGGAGGAGGAGGAAGAGGAGGAGGAGGGAGAAGAGGAGGAGGGGAGGGGAAGGAGGAGAAGGAGGAGGAGGAGGAGCGAGCGTCCCAATGGGCGAGTCCTGTGGTCTCTGGGCCGAGCGCCTCGCGCCGCCTCCTGGGCCTCTCAGCTCCACGGGGTCGCATGAGTCCATATGAGTCCGTGCTGTTGGCGGAGACGTGGTGGCCGTTGGCGCGTTCGACACCGAAGGGGGGCGAAGTCCTGGACGGCGATCATGTCGGACCCCGCGTCGAACAGAGCTCGGGCTCGAGCTCGTTGGACATGGTGTCGCTGCCACTCGGCCTGGCCAGCAGGTCGCTGGCTGGGTCATCGGCTGCATGTCGAGGCCCATGTGGGAGTCGTGCAGGAGGCCCTCGGCGTCACCGTCGAAGGGGTCCATCCTGGGGAAGCCGAAGTTGTGCTAGAAGTCGAGCAAGGAGAGGAGGGCGCAGCCGCCGTAGCGTCGCCACCTGAGAGGGGCCTCATCTTGTCCAAGCACAGACCATCATCACCAGGCCTTCCGCCTTCACCAGAGGGTGGATCAGCGAGTGGAGAAGTATCAGCAGCAGCAAGTGGGCGGGCGGCACCTTCCTCAGTTTCGTTGCCAGAACGATCATAAACATGCTACACGGCTTCCCCTCCACAGCTCCGCCCCTTGACCTCGGGCGGATCGCGGCTCTTTGGCCTCGCGAGGCCTGGACCGCTCAGGCCGCCTCCCGTCTCCTCCTACTCTTCTTCCTCCTCCTCGGCACTCCTCACCTCTCCTCGGATGCCGATGATGACGCGCCTTTTCGTGGCACAAGGCGCCTCGGCCACGCTCCGGCCGAGGCGCGAGCTCCGGGCGCGCTGATGAAGACCAGCAGCAGCAAGACACCGGGGGCAGCATCTTCAGCTTCGCTGCCAGGGTCGCAGGGCAGCGTCGCAGTGCCGCCGATCGGCATGGCACCACCATCGACCGTGTGCGCAGGATGATCAGCCGGAGGCGGACCGTCTCCACCGACAGGAGGGTCACTTGGCGCAGGAAGGTCAGCACCGGCATGAACTCGTGGCGCAGCAGCTTCATCGCTGCCAAGAGCGTCCTCGGGCGTCGCAATGCCCACACTCGACTCCGCGCCACCATGTTGTTGCACTGAGCCTCTCGACTCAGGCTACTCATCGCCATGTGTACGCAAGAGGTTGGCAGCGGGAACAAGATCGTACGGTGCGTGGACCATCACGTCATCAGCCTAGACACTTGGCAAGCGCCGTCCACCACGCGCGGGACGATGGACGAGGAGAGGCAGTGTCGGTAGAGCTGCCCGCCGGCCATGAGGAGGAAGGGGCGACGCCAAAGCCGCGCCCATGGGTCGTCCAGGGACTGGCCACGAGGCAACGAGTCGGCAAGCAGGAAGGCGGCGGCCACCGCCGTTCCCTGCGACATGCCATCCTCGCACACCTGAGGCACGCGGGCTCGGACGGCGCCGATGCCGACACTTCTTCCATATCTTCCAGGTCAGCATCCGTTGGCGACGTGCCGCGCAAATGAAGCCTTGCCAACCTTCTTGAGATTCTGCAGCAACTTCCGTGCTGGGTCCCGCTTGGCTCCTTACGCAAGCCCTTTCGCGACCTCGTGCTCACTTGACATGTGTCGCGGCGCCGATTTCTCTCGGCGCGCCCAAGTGGACGACGCCGACGCCGCGGCAAACCCTGCGTCTCGCGCCCCAAGTAGACAAGGCCGGCACCGCGGCGGATCCCACGGCAAACCCACCGCGCCCGAGGCGGCGGTTGCCCTGGTGGCCGCGGCGCCCTCCCCCAGACGCGAGGCCGCGCGTCGGAACGAACGGCGCGGCGACGCATCACAATCGAATGGGCCACCATCGAAATTCATCGCCCCACGGGAGGCGGGGGGCAGGAGGAGAGGCAGGAGGGGGAGGAGGAGGAGTAGGAGGAAGAGGTATGACGGAGAGGAGATAAGAGAGGATGATAGAGGATAGGAGGAGGAGAAATGATGAGGAGATGAGGAGGAGGAGGAGGAGGAGGAGGAGGAGGAGGAGGAGGGGGAGGAGGGAGGAGGAGGACGGGTCGCGTGAGCCCCTCGGAGAAACCCTCCGTCCAGGGGCAGGGCATCGTGGCTGAGGCGCAGCTGCCTGTTTGACCTGGCTCCTCGCGCTCGGCCGCGCTGATTCTAGGTCGGGCATGTCCTCCTACAGGCGGATTTGGACGAAAACTCAAAATTACGCGACCGAGGAACCCACATATTTATATTTTAGCTGGAATGATGTCAGCTGAAGTGAAGCATGTGAAAATGACGTTGGTGGCCGTTGCCCCGCCGATACCGTTGTGCCCTGGACGACCGTCACTGATAGCGGCCGCGGTGAGAGACCACCCCCTGCGCACCTCCTATGGTGTCGAGAATATGCCATGCCTGCGTAACCATGGACGACCGGATAGCGGCCCTGGTGAGAGACCACCCCCTGCGCACCCCCTATAGTGTCGAGAATATGCCATGCCTCCTGTGCCCTGGACGACCGTCACGGATAGCGGCCGCGGTGAGAGACCCCCCCCTGCGCATCCCCTATGGTGCCGAGAGTATGCCATGCCTGCTTTGCCCTGGACGACCGTCACGGATAGCGGCCGCGGTGAGAGACCACCCCCTGCGCACCTCCTATGGTGTCGAGAATATGCCATGCTTGCTGTGCGATAAACGACCGTCACGGACAGCGGCCGCGGTGAGAGACCACCCCCTGCGCACCCTTTTGGTGTCGAGAATATGCCATGCCTGCTTTGCCATGGACGACCGTCACGGATAGCGGCCGCGGTGAGAGACCACCCCCTGCGCACCCCCTATGGTGCCGAGAATATGCCATGCCTGCTGTGCCATGGACGACCGTCACGGATAGCGGCCGCAAAGAGAGACCACCCCCTGCGCACCCTATGGTGTCGAGATATGCAATGCCTGCTGTGCCATGGACGACCGTCACGGCATTAGCGGCCGCGGTGAGAGACCACCCCCTTCTCACCCCCTAACGGTGTCGAAATTATGCCATTGTCTCCTGTCCATGCACGACCGTCACGGATAGCGGCCGCGGTGTGAGACCACCCCCTGCGCACCCCCTATGGTGTCGAGAATGTGCCATGCCTGCTGTGCCAGGGACAGACCACCCCCTGCGCACCCCCTATAATGTCGAGAATATGCCATACCTCCTGTGCCCTGGACGACCGTCACGGATAGCGGCCGCGGTGAGAGACCACCCTTTGCGCACCCCCTGTTGCGTCGAGAATATGCCATGCTTGCTGTGCCACGGACGACCCTCACGGATAGCGGCCGCAGTGAGAGAACACCCCCTGCGCACCCCCTTATGGTGTCGATATATGCATTGCCTTGCTGTGCGATAGACGACCGTCACGGACGCGGCCGCGGTTGAGAGACCACCCCCTGCGCAACCCCGCGCAATGGTGTCGAGAATATGCCACGCCTGCTGTGCCATGCACGACCGTCACGGATAGCGACTGCGGTGAAAGACCACCCCCTGCGCACCCCCTGTTGCGTCGAGAATATGCCATGCTTGCTGTGCCACGGACGACCCTCACGGATAGCGGCCGCAGTGAGAGAACACCCCCTGCGCACCCCCTTATGGTGTCGAGAGTATGCCATGCCTGCTGTGCCATGGACGACCGTCACGGACAGCGGCCGCGGTGAGAGACCACCCCCTGCGCACCCCCCAATGGTGTCGAGAATATGCCATGCCTGCTGTGCCGTGGACGACCGTCACGGATAGCGGCCGCGGTGGGAGACCACCCCCTGCGCACCCCTATGGTGCTGTGTGTCAATGTGCTGTGTGCTGTGCTGAGCTGTGCTGAGCTGTGCTGCGCTGCGCTGCGCTGTGCTGCGCTGTGCTGCGCTGTGCTGTGTGACAAGGAGAAGGAGGGGGAGGTGTGTGTGTGTGTTTGTGTTTGTGTTCGTGTTTGTGTTTGTGTTTGTGTTTGTGTTTGCGTTTGTGCTTGTGCTTGTGCTTGTGCTTGTGCTTATGCTTGTGCTTGTGATTGTGCTTGTGCTTGTGCGTGTGCTTGTGCTTGTGGTTGTGTTTGTGCTTGTGCTTGTGCTTGTGCTTGTGCTTGTGCTTGTGCGTGTGCTTGTGCTTGTGCTTGTGCTTGTGCTTGTGCTTGTGCTTGTGCTTGTGCTTGTGCTTGTGCTTGTGCTTGTGGCTTTGGTGGTCGTGTGCCTTGTGCTTGTGCGTGTGCTTGTGCTTGTGCTTGTAGCATTGTGCTGTGCTTGTGCTTGTGCTTGTGCTTGTGCTTGTGCTTGTGCTTGTGCGTGTGCTTGTGCTTGTGCGTGTGCTTGTGCTTGTGCTTGTGCTTGTGCTTGTGCTTGTGCTTGTGCTTGTGCTTGTGCTTGTGCTTGTGCTTGTGCGTGTGCGTGTGCGTGTGCGTGTGCGTGTGCGTGTGCGTGTGCGTGTGCTTGTGCGTGTGCTTGTGCTTGTGCTTGTGCTTGTTGCTTGTGGTTGTGTGTTTGTGGTTGTTGTTGTTGGTTGTGGTTGTGGTTTGTGGTTGTGGTTGTGTTGTGGTGTGGTTTGGTTGGTTGTGGTTGGGGGTTGTGGTTGTGGTTGTGGTTGTGGTTGTGTTGTGTTTGTGGTTTTGGTTGTGGTTGTGCGTGTGCTTGTGGCTTGTGCTTGTGCTTGTGCTTGTGCTTGTGCTTGGCTTGTGCTTGTGCTTGTGCGTGTGCTTGTGCTTGTACATGTGCATTGTGCTTGTGCTTGTGTCTTGATTGCGTGTGTGCGCCTTGTGCTATGTGCGTGTGCTTGTGCTTGTGCTTGTGCTTGGCTTGTGCTTGTGCTTGTGCTTGTGCTTGTGCTTGTGCTTGTGCTTGTGCTTGTGCTTGGTGCTTGTGCTTGTTGCTTGTGCTTGTGCTTTGGCTTGTGCTTGTGCTTTGTGCGTGTGCGTGTGCGTGTGCGTGTGCGTGTGCGTGTGCGTGTGCGTGTGCGTGTGCGTGTGCGTTGTGCGTGTGCGTGTGCGCGTGCGTGTGCGTGTGCGCGTGCGCGTGCGTGTGCGCGTGCGTGTGCGTGTGCGTGTGCGTGTGCGTGTGCGTGTGCGTGTGCGTGTGCGTGTGCGTGTGCGTGTGCGTGTGCGTGTGCGTGTGTGTGTGGTGTGTGCGGGAGACGCGGGTGCGATGCGGCAGGGATGAAAACCAGAACTGTGCTGTGCTGTGCTGTGCTGTGCTGTGCTGAGCAGTGCTGTGCTGTGCTGTGCTGCGCTGCGCCCTGCTGCGCTGTGTGAGAAGGAGAAGGAGGAGGAGGAGGAGGAGGAGGGGTGAGGAGACGCGGGTGCGACGCGGGAAGGAAGAAAACCAGAACCCCACTAAGCATGTGGGGAAATACTCGAAATACACTCCCACATGGCAAAAACAAGTAACAAAAAACTGTCCCCAGACTATTCTTGGACTACCTTTGAATTCTCCCCCCGCAGAGGGACAGGCCCGACTCAAGACCGACTCTGCCCTGCAGGGCATCGCGGCCAAGCTCAGAGCCCGCCGCCGTGTCCTGGAGCTGCGCGCCCCGCTCCCGCAGCGACGTGTGGACGGACCCCTGTGAGCCCCTGGGCATTGGCGCCTCCGCCGGCCAGCCGACCTCCCGGAGCTCTCTGCTGCGGCGCGCAGAAGACCACCGCGCGTCCTGGGGCTCAGCGCGCGTGCCATCTCTGGCCTCCGTCGCTTGTCCTCCAGGTGCTCGCTTCGTCGTGGAACGCGTCTCGCCTCCCCAGAGCGGCCCACGCACTTGAAGGCACCGGCTCGCCCCGACAACGGCTGACTCCATCCAGGACCATCCAAGGACGAATGGTGCCTCCCGTCCAAGTGCCGCGAAAACTTGGATCCCGCACCCTCGGTGAGCTGGCTGAGCGAGCGCGCCTGCAACGCCCAAGTCCCGTCCCCAAACCCCCGACGTCGTGATTCTTCCATGACGTCGACCCCCAGAGGTCTGGACCCTTTCCCCGGGACCGGTTTTTCATCCTGAGTCGTTTTTTGACGCTCCCGCGGCCCGGTGAGGACCTCCAGAGGGGGAAAATAAAGAAAAACCTTCCGTCGTGATTTTTTCACGACGCGAGGGGGTCTGGGTCGTTGGGTTGGCTGGTGGGGCTGCCTCTGGGTGGGCCGCCTGGGCGGGATCGAGCACCGCGCTCTGGCGAGGGCCCCCGGCCTCCGCCGCCGCCGCAGAACTCGTCGAGGGCCGCGCCACACGCGCAGCGCCACGGGTGGTGTCCAGGGCTGCGGCGGCCGCCGCAGCGGCCACGGATGGCAAGAGGAAAACGAAGAAAGACGTAAACAGAAAAAACTCGGAGGCCGCGCGGATGTCTCGGATTCGCGCTGGGGGCCCCCTGGCGGCGCCTCCGGCGCCGCCCCTGGCGCGCTCCGCGCGCCAAGCAGGGGGGCCAGCGCCGATCCGAGAAATCCGCGCGGACCTC